TTGAGTGCAATGTGAGAACATTAGCATTTTCATGAAAAATAAAATTCTGTTGGTCAAAATGATCGGAAATCAGCAATGGGGTTGATTTATTACTATTATTATTATTATTATTATTATATGTATTATATGTATATGTAATGAATTAATTAATATATTAACGTTGTAATGCATAATGCATTAATTCCTCTTTTACATATAGTAGTTTAACTATTTATAATAATTTAATATTACATTTTTAATGTATATATTCAATGCTTTCATGTAGGCCATTTACCTGTACAGAGTTTTGAGATTGTTCAAACTTCCGCCACAGAATCTGAAAATCCTCCAAAGGATGATTCCAGTATCAAGGGTAAAGACACATTTACTGTTCTTTTTTTTTATATAAAGGTAATTCCAATAGCCTAACCCTAACCATAAAATATTTAGAATTTCTAGAATGAAAACAAATTAATCGCATTATGATTTATTATTATTATTTTACTTTTCTTTTTTCACAAATGGAGATACATATGAGGAGCATCCCTGATTCACTAAAACAATCATGTAAATCAAGTATAAAATTATTGCTGACCTCAATATGCATGGTGAAATATGCAAGTATCAGAAGTGTGACTATTTTAAATGGCTTCAAACTGATCAGCCTGATCTTCACTGCGTGTTGCTTAAAACCTTTATTTCTATTTTCTTTCTGCTTATAGATGTTTGCCAGCTCAAACTCGATGCAGGAACTTGCTCAAACTTTTCAATGAAATGGTATTTCGAAGTCCGCAGTGGTGAATGTGTCCAGTTCTGGTACGGAGGCTGTGACGGGAACAGCAACAGGTTCGACACTCAGGAGGACTGTGAGATTCGCTGTCTCAGGGCCAAAAAATATCTCCAAACATCTAAACTGTGATACAGTCATGGTGAGAATTGTTGGCACCCTTGGTAAATGTGAACAAAGAAACGTGGGGAAAAAAATCGGCATTAATCCCTTTGATCTAAGGGAATTTAAAGAAGGGAATAAGAATTTAAAATGGAGGGAAAATCTCATTATGAAATAAATGTCTTGCTCTAATACACATTGACCACAATTAATCATACCCTTTTATCCAATACTTTTTGCGACCTCATTTTCCCAAGATAACAGCTCAGTTCACCCCACTCATTTTCTATAAGGTTCAGGTCAGGGAACTGGGTTGGCCAGGGCAGAACCTTCGTTTTGTGCTCAGTGACCCATTTTTTGTTTTGATTTTGATGTTTGTTTTTGGATCTTAGTCCTATTGGAAGATTTAACTATAGCCCATTAAAAGATTTCTTACAGAGGCAGTCAGGATTAGATTTTTTTTTATCTGTTGGTATATGATAGAATCCATGATATCATGAATCTGAACAAGATGTCCAGGAGCACCGGCAGAAAAATAGGCCCACAACATTAAAGATGCAGCAGTATATTTGTACACATAGGGTACTTTTTCACCCCTGTGTGCACCAAACCCATCTTGAGTGTTGCTGCTAAAATGCTCATTTTTAAATTTCATCTGACCATAGAACCAAGTCCCATTTGAAGACCCAGTAGTGTCAGGCAAGTGAATGTGCTGGAGTTTGTTCTCGGATGAGAGCATTTTCGTTTCCGTTTTTTTTTTTCTTTTTTTCTTGAAACCCTCCCGAACAACATGTGGTGCTATAGGTGCTGTTTGATACATTTTTAATGCTTTTTTCTGTAGCTATTTTCTGTAGCTCTCCAGCTGTGATCCTTGGCCACTCAAAATATCCTCCTCAGCTTGCATTAAGACAATCTAGACACGTCCTCTTTCATAATTTTATATTTTTATATAACTTTAATGCTGTATCAGAGCGCTGCCTTTGTACTTTTGACTGAATTGTTTATCAACTTTTATGATGGCTGTTGTTTATTGATTATTATTCAATAAATAATATTTTATTTACCATCTTGGAATGGTCTGTGTTGTCATTCATGGTCAAAAATCAACGAGTTTTCCAAGATGCCACAACATATGGTTGTAAAATTCGCCAACATTTAAATTCACAAAGAAATGGGATAATCTTTGACAGTTAAAAATTTGTTGGTTTGTGTGTTAATATGTATTAACTCGATTTTACAGGTTTTATAAACTCTGGTAACTTTTTAATGTCGTGTTTGCTAATGGCTTCATCTTGTATTGTGTTAGTTCAGCAAAATCATCTGTTGAAGTTTATTGCAGATATAGATATGCATGCATGCCTATAACTACAGTTGCATTGCAGATGCACAGTCAACTTGCTCTCCAGTGTTCACAGACCGGTGTTTTGAGTGTTCCAATATGGCAGACGGATTATGTATAGTGGCCCATAGAAAGAGCCTCTAAGGCATCTACATATATGATTTTTCACTTTCAACAACACCTTGTATTGCATTGAAAAAAAAAATCCCTTACCAGTTGAAAGGATACTATGAAAATGATTTGGCTTTCCTCAGTGGACATTTAAACTAATGTTTTATTGTGAATATGAGACTGACCTGAAAAAGGAATGCTGTATCTGATACAGGTAATCGGGAAAAGACGTGAATGGTGCAATCTGATAATATAAAATATGGTCATACAATACAAATGCCAGCAATTCAGCTTTGGAAGTTTGTAATGCCTATAGACCTTGACCTAGAGATTTGATATAAGATAAATATAAAAATAAGAATGAATCAATATATTGACCAGAAATGTTATGATATATGACACAAATATTTAGAGAGTTCAAAGGATCCAGGATCTAAGAAAACAGGAGTAGCAGCAGTTACACCACAACATGAAATGGTGATTAAAAAAATAAAATAAAATAAAAAGACTCCCAGATTTTTTTCTGTATTTACAGCAGAGTTTGTAGCTACACTCTATGACGCTCCACACTCCAGTTCAGTTGGTGGCGGTAATGCACTAATAAGCTATTCTGCCAACAGCCAATAAACAATAAAAGATGCAGGTAATCACAGTCGCTCAGTCCATTTCTCTCGGGTAATATATGGTCTATTCATAATCATTTTTGTAATACCAAGCAAGGTTAAATAAATTCATACTAAAATGCTAAACAAATTTTATCCTTGCAAGTTATTTGTATCCAAGTTTATGGGTATTCAACCAGAATGCTCTTTTTTGGGATCTGAAAATGAATCCATGCTTCATCAGTTCTTTAGATGTCCCTTCACAGTATCATTTTGGACTGAGATTTCAAATTTAGATTTTTACATCCTTTAATAACCTCATTGATATTACAGAAGAAATGGTCCGGTTTCTGTTTTGTATCACTGGCTCTGCTCTTTTAAATACTGTAAAAATCTTGTGCTTGCTAGGAAAAGGTCATATTCACAAGTCTAAAGTTACAGCTTCTAAACCAGATTTTATTGCATTTTACTCTGAATTAAAACATGTATCTGATTCCCTGTGTAAATTAAAAAGAATCAAGATTTTAAATAAGATTGAGCCATTATAGAGGTTTAGATTTTCCCCTGTCCCCCCACTTGAGTCAAAACAAAATGTAAAACACTTCTTCCTTTTTTAAATTTAGTTGTGATGTCTTGTGTTTATACTTTAAATCCCTCGTTATATGTATATAGATTGTTCTTACTCTGTTAAATTCAATTGTTAATATACTTCAGCAGTCGGTTTTACAATGTCACATTACTTGCAAAATGTTCATAAAAAAAAAAGTAATATACTCTACATGTAAACAAGGTAGGCTACGAGAGGCCATGCTTAAGTCACAGCTGAGGGGCATAACCAATTTCTGTAATATGTACAGTAAGATACTGTAAAGCGGCTATTACTATAAACAGCAAAGGATTATGGGAAAATATGGTCACTACTGTAAATTCTCTACTATAATTCAGTTTACAGTGAACTTTCCCGCGAAAAGCTGACCAATGGCAAAAGATTTCTTTTCAAGTTTTTTTTTTTTAACTCTGAGGTGGAAGTGGCGGTTAACGGACAAAAATAATGAACCAGTAACTCACCAAAAAGGTTAGTATATATTTTTTTACCTTATGTAAAAAACATATTTTTAAATTTTCACTTGTAATGTTAACAGCGAAATAATAGTGTCGTTTTTCACATCGGAAGGGTTTTGGTGCCTTCGTTTCTGACGGTTGGCTGGATCGCGGTCAAACATTAACCTCTATCAGCAGGTTCCCAAACGGGTGCAAAACAGCCATCTGTGCGCAAACACACAGGCCCATCCAACTCACTAAAAAAAAATAAAAAAAACACCACGATAGGAAGAAATATTCTTTATTTATAACTGAAATCTTGAGGTTTTCTAATATACAGTCAGGCCTTGACTTTAACACCCGCATTTGTGGTCTATTCTCCCAATTTTATTTACTATAGATCCCATTAATAATTCACTGGAATGAAAGAATCTCTCCTGTTTCTTCTCAAATCCTCACGTCTCTTTCCAGGTTGGTTTGTTTTCTCAGGTAAATACAACTCATTAGGCTATCGGTCAAAGTGACGGAAATCACTTTGAAATAGTATCAGTATTTAATGTTACCTGCCAGACCTGCCCAACCGGACCAGCCCCGGGAGAGACCTTTCGCATTCCCGTGGTCGGCCCCGGCCCGATGTTGTACCTGGAAGCAGAAGTCCTGGAGTGCGAGGAACCACCGCGTCACCCGGGCGTTCGTGTCCTTCGCCTTGGACATCCATTGTAGTGGCGCATTGTTCCACGACCCAGACAGTATACTCCTGTCGGGTGGCCAGTCGTTCGGTAAACTGCTGCTGGCGGGCCGAGAGCTCAGTCAGGCGGCGGATGACCTCTTCCATTTGTCCTGGGGAAGGGAGCGGTTCTCCTAGAAGCAAAGAGATTGTTACCGCAACCTGGCGTTACAAGTCTGTCTCAATTCACCTGTAACGCCTGCATTCTCCACCATATGTCGCGGGGTGAATGAGAACACAGACTCGGTACTGATAGAAAGAGCCCCGTAGGGTGATTTATTGCCCACACACTGATCACACGTGCTCGGAGGAATGGTGCTCGGTGCCCGTATCAACTCGTGGGGTGAAGCTCGTGGGGTGAAGTGCCGTGGTGCAGATCCCTCTCCTGGGGTGTCGTCAAAGACTGTGGATAAGGAGAAACAAGCATTAATGTCACCTAGAGCTCCGTTGCAACTCCCCGCTGGTGTCTCTTCTCCTGGCTTTTATGGCCAGTGGGAACGAGCTCCAGGTGTGCCACTCATCACGCACAGGTGTTGTGCTTCTGTGATCAGTGTGGCAGCGGTGTTTCCAGGGCGACACTGATCTGGAACCGGGATACTCGCTACATTATATATACAGTATATATATATATATATATATATATATATATTGTATTAGGCTACTAAAGGGATATTTCACTCGTCCGTTATTGCTGTGGAAAGAATCGTGTTTTTGGGGTAATTCATGGTCTATTAAAGGTACCTATGCTTTTACACTTTTAAATGTAATTTTAATGTTCAATGGTTGAAGGGTGAGTAGAATAATGTCATCTCATTGTACCCAGTTGAACCCCATTTTACCCCTTCCACTCTGGGGCATATTTTGAAATTCCGCCATGAAATTTGATTGAAATTTGCCATACCCCAATTTAAATGTTCACCCTACATACATACAGTGGAAGAAATTTAAAATGTTGGTGTCAATGTACAGAAAAACCCCTCAAACTAACAAAATCAGATTGCAATACTTCATAAATAACGTTATATGTATTTAAAATATTATAATAAACATAAAAAAAGGTACTTTTTGATATAATTTTTTTCCAGAGTCCTGTATTTGAAAGTCTGTTATTCAGGTTGTGCTCTAGGGACCTGCTGATTATTTTGTTTGATTCCCCTAGGTGGCAGAATATACTACAGTAGAAAAAATAATTCCTCTATTCCATTTTCTATACAAGAGTTATTGAAATATAACTGAAGGAAGGCGACTTGTCCTATTTAGCGTCTACAAGTGTCCTTTGCAATAACAGGTTTTATAAACTACATTACCCAAAATATTCAAATTTTCTATATGCTATAGCAGTTTTCTTGATCATTGCTTGATTTTCTTCATTTGTTATTTTTGTCTCTGAGATGCACAACTAGTAATATGCAAAATCAAAAACAGTTCCAAGCAAGATTCAGAATGTTCTGTCAATGTAAATTGGGTTTCGGGGGGTTTGATAACCTGCTATGTCCAAGACTCGTAAATTATAAGACTTGGACATAGCAGGGTGTGCTGACTTTGATGCACATAACTTGGAAACTCAGAAGTTTTTCATGGAAGTGTAAAAGATTTTTCTGTAGGAAATAGCATTTTTTTTTTTAAGTCTGATTAGTTTTTCTTTTTAAGTCTGATTATCTAGAAAAGACAGAGGAGGTTGAGTCAAAACAGGCTGACTTTTAAAAATATTGTGGTTAAGGCAACATAATGACAGTGGCATATTTACAGCAAAAACTGATTACACAATTAAAATGACCTTTGTGTTATTTCATTTGTGCAAATATAAGAATTAAGAGCAGAATCAAGTGGTCAAAATTCTATCTAAAAATATTCCCTTTGCCTAGGCTGCAACCAGACTGCTCAGGCAGACATTGTGCTCCTTGTTGACTCGTCTGGTAGCATTGGAGAGAGTGATTTCGAAGAAGTGAGGAAGTTCCTCCATTCTTTTGTGGACAGGTTTAACCTTAGGCCCGACAAGGTGAGAGTGGGACTTGCTCAGTTCAGTGACAGGCCATACCAAGAGTTCCTGCGCGGTGACTATTCAGATAAGAGAGATCTGCACCAAAAGTTGAATGATCTCATCTACCGTAGAGGAGGCACCAACACTGGTCTGGCTCTGACTTTCATCCGTGAAAATTACTTTAGACTGGCCAGACAGAATGTTCCTGGCATTGCCATAGTCATCACAGATGGGGAATCAAATGATGATGTGGAGGAACCTTCCCAGAGACTACGAAACCTAGGAGTTTCCATCTTTGTCATCAGGGTGGGAACGGGCAACATGGAAAAACTGCATACCATTGCTAATACCCCACATGAAGAGTTCTTATTCAGTATCGACAATTATAAAGAACTGCAAGGTCTAAAAGAAAGAAAGAAAGTCAAGGTGTGCTTTACTGTGACGCTCCAATCACAAGGTAACAGATTTTATTTGGTATGCTTTCCTATTTGTGTATTTGTGTTGGGAGTGTTGAATATGAAAACCTTAAAATTACTACAAAAACTTCTACTAGCTTTGAGTCCCATCACAGTGAACTCCTATCTGCTGTTGTTTGTGCTCAAGTATGGGACCGTTTATTGATTTATGTTTTAGATGCAAGTAATTCTATTCCTTTGTTTCCATTCTCTTTAGCTTTTGTGCCAAAATTTGCTGATATCTTCATATTGGTTGATAGTTCAGCATCTAGACAAGAGCAGCAAATAATAAGGACTTTTCTTCCAAGACTGCTCCAGCAGCTCAACGTGGGAAAGAATACTAATCGTGTCGGCCTGGCTCAGTTCAGCGAAAATGTCAAAGAGGAGTTCCTACTAAATACTGATAAGGCTAGAAATGAGATTTTGTCATCTATTCGCAGCCTGACACTGAGGCCTACAGGGGAGCGTAAAATTGGCAATGCAATTGAATATGCTCATAAAAATTTCTTCAGTAAGGTCTCTGGAAGCCGTGTCTCTGAAGGCTTTAAGCAATTTCTGTTAGTCATTTCAGCTGGAGAATCTGCCGATGGTGTCGTCCAAGCATCCCGCACAATCAAAACAGATGCAGTGACAGTTTTTGGTGTTGGCTTGAGCAAAGCTGATGCACATGAAATGAAGTACATCTCTAGTCAACCACACAGCTACAAGTTAGTAGGTAACATCCAACAAGTACAACAGAAAATTAAGTCTGCCATTGACACATGGGAAGATGCTGCTGTCGCAAGGGGTGAGTGCATGCATTATCTATTATTCTTTCCAAAAAACCCATAAACTTTTCTCATTTTCTCATTTGTTTAGAGTTTTAACTTGAAAAACTATTATGTAGTACATAATCCTAAAGACTCTGGTTTTATAAAGTTCTCATATTTTTTTTGACAGAGTGCATGTTTGACGTGGTGGCAGATATCGCTTTTATTGTTGATCAGTCCAGCAGTATCAGATCCAAAAACTTCCAACTTGTACGCGACTTTCTCGAGAACACCATCGGAGGTCTCGATGTAGGTGAGGGAAAAATAAAAATAGCTGTGGTTCTCTATAGTGACTTCCCTCGAGCGGATGTGTCCTTCAACACCTTCGATGATAAGACTGACATCCTGCGCTACATCAGCAGCATGCCATATGGTCGTGGTAAAACATACACTGGAGCTGCTCTCAAGTTTGCCAAAGAGCATGTGTTCACCAAAGCAAGAGGCAGCAGAAGAGATCAGCATGTTCAGCAGGTTGCTGTTGTTATCACTGATGGAAAGTCAACAGATGAGGTGGCCAGGGCTGCGGCAGCATTGCGGCGATCTGGCATCACTATATTTGCGCTTGGTATCAAAGACACCGAGGAGGATGACTTGAGAGAGATTGCTTCCTACCCATATAAAAAGTTTGTATTCAACGTGGAAGACTTTGATAAACTAAATTCACTTTCAAATATTTTAACCAAAACACTCTGCAATGAAATCACAGATTCCATCATACCTAGAGTTTCACTCTCACAGAGCTTTGTTTTACAAGGTTGGTAAGATGTTTTTACTCATTCTTTTTTAAATGACTGGCCCTAAGAGCACAGTGATGATGAAAAAAATAATAATACAAATTTCATATCTGAATACTCAAAATTTCACTCCACTGCAGGTTGCAAGCAAACAACCAAAGCCGACATATACTTTCTTCTGGATGAATCAGGAAGTATATCCTATGATGAGTTTGATGATATGAAGAACTTTACTAAGCAATGGCTTGAAGCATTTGAGGTTGGAAATAACCATGTGCGCTTTGGATTAGTAAAATTTGCAAGCAGCGCAACAACAGCTTTCCGATTACATGACTATAACACAAAAGCTGATATCGAAAAGGCAGTGAATGCCCTCATTATGGAGGGAGGGGGCACCAGGACTGATTTGGGGTTGAGAGAAATGATCCCGCTGTTCGAAGAAGCTGTACGAACACGTGAGGAAAAAGTTCGTAAGCTCCTGATTGTCATCACAGATGGCGAGTCAAGAGGGACAGAAGAGTCGGTAGAAGTCCCTGCTAAACTTCTGAGAACAGAACAGAATGTCACCATTTATGCTATTGGTGTGAAAGATGCATCTGAGCCAGAGCTGGAATTAATATCTGGCAGCCCACAAAGAACATTTTATGTCAAAAACTATGATTTCCTTGATGAAATCAAGAAAGACATCATTACAGAAATATGCTCCTTTGAAGGTGAGACATTCGATTATTGGCATATGTTTATACTGTGTGTTTGCACTGTTACCTGATTTGCACAATTTTTTAATTGAATGGGTGATAAAATAATACAGTGCATGGACATACATTTTTTTCTCTTGGCCTAAATAGAATTTGTTTCAAGATTCTTTTCACAGAACGAGTGATCACTTTATGAATTTCTTATTTTTAGGTTGTGAAGGTCTTTTTGCAGATGTTGTCTTCCTGCTTGATGGATCAGAAAGCGTTAGTGCTAAGGACTTTGAAAATATGAAGTACATAATGAAGCTTGTGATAGATAGGTTTGTAATTGGACCGGACAAGGAGCGTGTTGCGGTTGTTCAGTATGGCACAGACCCAAAGGAGGAGTTTTCCTTAAATAAATTTGACGATAAAGCTGTATTATTACAGGAAATTAGAAATATTAAACAGATGAATGGAAAAGCGAACACTGGAAAAGCACTTAAAGAAGTATTACAATCTTTCAACATTTCTAAAGGAGGACGCGCCAGTGCTTTAAAGTTCTTGATACTTCTTACAGATGGAGAGAGTTGGGATGATGTATCTGAGCCTGCTAAAGTCTTGAGAGACAATTTAATCAACATTAATGCTATTGGTATGAGACATGCAAACAAATCTCAGATTCTTGCCATTGCTGGATCCCATGATGGAGTGTTCTTTGAAGACGCTGTTGCATCCCCAAAAGAATTAAGCAATGACATCCTTCTAAAGATCTGCAACACAGGTACGTAAACCAAAACTGAGATTTTAAGGAGAGATCACATCATGTCAGTAACTTCTGTCAGTTGATGTTAAATCCCTTGAAAAATATGTTCTGTGACTTTTAGTCAATGTATGTTATCTTTGAGGGCATCTACATGCTAGTGTAGCAGTGCACACATTTACCACCTGACCATCTGAATCTGACCACCAACAACATGTAGACATTTATGGCTTATGGCTGTTTTGCCAAAAGAGAAGGACTGCACATTTGTAATATGTACATCTGCTAAATGCTTGTCAGCTTTCATTTGTATTATAGTAAAAAACACTTCAAATATTAGCAAAGGTGGATTTTCCAAATTACTTCTAACATTAACATCATATATCTTTCCAGAATGCAAGACACCAGAATTGATCGATATAATCTTCCTTATGGATGCCTCCGGAAGTCCAAATAAAGATGGTTTCCAGGAAATGATAAACTTAATGAAATATACGGTGAGCAAATCTGTGGTTGGAGAAAAACGGGTACGATTTGGCGCTGTCACCTACTCTAATAACCCTCATTCAGAGTTCACACTAAAACAGTACTACAGTCAAACTGATATTCTGAGGGTTATCTCAAACCTCAAAACTTCAGGAGGAAGCAGAAACACGGTCCGAGCCCTGAACTATACACTCTCCTACTTTGGTGGAACACATGGTGGACGACGGGCAAAGAATGTTCCCCAAGTGCTATTTCTGATTACAGACGGCAAGGTTAATGACTTAAGTGGTCTAGCAACATGGCCTGAATCCCTGGCAAATTCAGAGGTCAACTTTTTTGCTATTGGTACTGAAGATGCAGATGCAGAACAGCTAAAGGAGATGGTGGGAAAGAAAGGAACAGTGCACTATGCAAAGACCTACCAGGATCTGCATGGACTGCAAAAACGGATCACCCAAGAGCTCTGCGATCTTACCAAACCAAGTAAATCTTATTCTTATCACCAAACACTTTGTGCCATAAATTTTTTTCTGGAAATGAACTCAACGTTCTATGTGAATGTATCTTCTGATTAAATAATATCAAAGGAATTATATATATATTTAAAAATATGTTGACCGCTACATTTTTGTCAGAAAGTAACTGCTTTTTCAATAGAGTAAGTTGACTTTAAGTGACTTTTTCTGCTTAGTTATTTCATGCATCTTGATTGATCAGATCGATGTCCAATTATACTTAACATAAATACAGATATAAATCCAATCAACACTTCATGATATATGGCAATATAATTCACTGTTTGTGTCTCATGGTTGCTTCATCCATGATTGCTTGTCCAGGTGTGGATTGCTTATGTGTCTTAGACCACCTACTGAACTATCTCTAACTATCGGTACAAATGTGTGATCTGAAACTGCCAATCTACAGTTGTAATGTTGCTTCCCAAAACTGTCCATTAATGTTTTTTTTTTGTTTCCTAGTTTGTGAGATGGAGGTATCAGACCTTGTTTTTTTAATTGATGGATCAGAGTCTATTGACGAACCAAGTTGGAATACTCTCAAAAAAACCATGATTGGCATTGTGAAAGAGCTGGATATTGCTCAAGACAAATGGCGAGTGGGTGTTGCCCAGTTCAGCGATATACTCCTGCATCACTTTTACCTGAACACATACACTAGTTTTGCAGAAGTGGAGGAAGCTATAAACAAAATTAGACAACGAAAGCAGGGCACAAGTACTTGGGACGCACTGAGAAATATTAGATACTACTTCACAAGAGAGAATGGATCCAGAAATTACTTTAGACTGGCCAGACAGAATGTTCCTGGCATTGCCATAGTCATCACAGATGGGGAATCAAATGATGATGTGAAGGAACCTTCCCAGAGACTACGAAACCTAGGAGTTTCCATCTTTGTCATCAGGGTGGGAACGGGCAACATGGAAAAACTGCATACCATTGCTAATACCCCACATGAAGAGTTCTTATTCAGTATCGACAATTATAAAGAACTGCAAGGTCTAAAAGAAAGTCTACGCAACAAGGTGTGCTTTACTGTGACGCTCAACAGATGAGGTGGCCAGGGCTGCGGCAGCATTGCGGCGATCTGGCATCACTATATTTGCGCTTGGTATCAAAGACACCGAGGAGGATGACTTGAGAGAGATTGCTTCCTACCCATATAAAAAGTTTGTATTCAACGTGGAAGACTTTGATAAACTAAATTCACTTTCAAATATTTTAACCAAAACACTCTGCAATGAAATCACAGATTCCATCATACCTAGAGTTTCACTCTCACAGAGCTTTGTTTTACAAGGTTGGTAAGATGTTTTTACTCATTCTTTTTTAAATGACTGGCCCTAAGAGCACAGTGATGATGAAAAAAATAATAATACAAATTTCATATCTGAATACTCAAAATTTCACTCCACTGCAGGTTGCAAGCAAACAACCAAAGCCGACATATACTTTCTTCTGGATGAATCAGGAAGTATATCCTATGATGAGTTTGATGATATGAAGAACTTTACTAAGCAATGGCTTGAAGCATTTGAGGTTGGAAATAACCATGTGCGCTTTGGATTAGTAAAATTTGCAAGCAGCGCAACAACAGCTTTCCGATTACATGACTATAACACAAAAGCTGATATCGAAAAGGCAGTGAATGCCCTCATTATGGAGGGAGGGGGCACCAGGACTGATTTGGGGTTGAGAGAAATGATCCCGCTGTTCGAAGAAGCTGTACGAACACGTGAGGAAAAAGTTCGTAAGCTCCTGATTGTCATCACAGATGGCGAGTCAAGAGGGACAGAAGAGTCGGTAGAAGTCCCTGCTAAACTTCTGAGAACAGAACAGAATGTCACCATTTATGCTATTGGTGTGAAAGATGCATCTGAGCCAGAGCTGGAATTAATATCTGGCAGCCCACAAAGAACATTTTATGTCAAAAACTATGATTTCCTTGATGAAATCAAGAAAGACATCATTACAGAAATATGCTCCTTTGAAGGTGAGACATTCGATTATTGGCATATGTTTATACTGTGTGTTTGCACTGTTACCTGATTTGCACAATTTTTTAATTGAATGGGTGATAAAATAATACAGTGCATGGACATACATTTTTTTCTCTTGGCCTAAATAGAATTTGTTTCAAGATTCTTTTCACAGAACGAGTGATCACTTTATGAATTTCTTATTTTTAGGTTGTGAAGGTCTTTTTGCAGATGTTGTCTTCCTGCTTGATGGATCAGAAAGCGTTAGTGCTAAGGACTTTGAAAATATGAAGTACATAATGAAGCTTGTGATAGATAGGTTTGTAATTGGACCGGACAAGGAGCGTGTTGCGGTTGTTCAGTATGGCACAGACCCAAAGGAGGAGTTTTCCTTAAATAAATTTGACGATAAAGCTGTATTATTACAGGAAATTAGAAATATTAAACAGAAGAATGGAAAAACATACACTGGAAAAGCACTTAAAGAAGTATTACAATCTTTCAACATTTCTAAAGGAGGACGCGCCAGTGCTTTAAAGTTCTTGATACTTCTTACAGATGGAGAGAGTTGGGATGATGTATCTGAGCCTGCTAAAGTCTTGAGAGACAATTTAATCAACATTAATGCTATTGGTATGAGACATGCAAACAAATCTCAGATTCTTGCCATTGCTGGATCCCATGATGGAGTGTTCTTTGAAGACGCTGTTGCATCCCCAAAAGAATTAAGCAATGACATCCTTCTAAAGATCTGCAACACAGGTACGTAAACCAAAACTGAGATTTTAAGGAGAGATCACATCATGTCAGTAACTTCTGTCAGTTGATGTTAAATCCCTTGAAAAATATGTTCTGTGACTTTTAGTCAATGTATGTTATCTTTGAGGGCATCTACATGCTAGTGTAGCAGTGCACACATTTACCACCTGACCATCTGAATCTGACCACCAACAACATGTAGACATTTATGGCTTATGGCTGTTTTGCCAAAAGAGAAGGACTGCACATTTGTAATATGTACATCTGCTAAATGCTTGTCAGCTTTCATTTGTATTATAGTAAAAAACACTTCAAATATTAGCAAAGGTGGATTTTCCAAATTACTTCTAACATTAACATCATATATCTTTCCAGAATGCAAGACACCAGAATTGATCGATATAATCTTCCTTATGGATGCCTCCGGAAGTCCAAATAAAGATGGTTTCCAGGAAATGATAAACTTAATGAAATATACGGTGAGCAAATCTGTGGTTGGAGAAAAACGGGTACGATTTGGCGCTGTCACCTACTCTAATAACCCTCATTCAGAGTTCACACTAAAACAGTACTACAGTCAAACTGATATTCTGAGGGTTATCTCAAACCTCAAAACTTCAGGAGGAAGCAGAAACACGGTCCGAGCCCTGAACTATACACTCTCCTACTTTGGTGGAACACATGGTGGACGACGGGCAAAGAATGTTCCCCAAGTGCTATTTCTGATTACAGACGGCAAGGTTAATGACTTAAGTGGTCTAGCAACATGGCCTGAATCCCTGGCAAATTCAGAGGTCAACTTTTTTGCTATTGGTACTGAAGATGCAGATGCAGAACAGCTAAAGGAGATGGTGGGAAAGAAAGGAACAGTGCACTATGCAAAGACCTACCAGGATCTGCATGGACTGCAAAAACGGATCACCCAAGAGCTCTGCGATCTTACCAAACCAAGTAAATCTTATTCTTATCACCAAACACTTTGTGCCATAAATTTTTTTCTGGAAATGAACTCAACGTTCTATGTGAATGTATCTTCTGATTAAATAATATCAAAGGAATTATATATATATTTAAAAATATGTTGACCGCTACATTTTTGTCAGAAAGTAACTGCTTTTTCAATAGAGTAAGTTGACTTTAAGTGACTTTTTCTGCTTAGTTATTTCATGCATCTTGATTGATCAGATCGATGTCCAATTATACTTAACATAAATACAGATATAAATCCAATCAACACTTCATGATATATGGCAATATAATTCACTGTTTGTGTCTCATGGTTGCTTCATCCATGATTGCTTGTCCAGGTGTGGATTGCTTATGTGTCTTAGACCACCTACTGAACTATCTCTAACTATCGGTACAAATGTGTGATCTGAAACTGCCAATCTACAGTTGTAATGTTGCTTCCCAAAACTGTCCATTAATGTTTTTTTTTTGTTTCCTAGTTTGTGAGATGGAGGTATCAGACCTTGTTTTTTTAATTGATGGATCAGAGTCTATTGACGAACCAAGTTGGAATACTCTCAAAAAAACCATGATTGGCATTGTGAAAGAGCTGGATATTGCTCAAGACAAATGGCGAGTGGGTGTTGCCCAGTTCAGCGATATACTCCTGCATCACTTTTACCTGAACACATACACTAGTTTTGCAGAAGTGGAGGAAGCTATAAACAAAATTAGACAACGAAAGCAGGGCACAAGTACTTGGGACGCACTGAGAAATATTAGATACTACTTCACAAGAGAGAATGGATCCAGAATAGATGAAAGAGTCGCTCAGAATCTCCTGCTGATCACAGATGGAAAAGCTAATGATGAGAAAGACTTGAACGCATTAGTGTATCTCAGAAACAAGAACATAACTATAACTGCCATTGGGATTGGCGATGAAATAAAGAAATCTGAACTGCGTGAAATAGCTGGATCAGCTGATCGGGTCCTTATTGAGACTTTTGAAGGCCTTGAACTGAAGACAACCATAAGGAAAGTGTTACATTTACTCTGTACAGACACAAGACCAATACCACAACCCCCATATGGTAAGTAACTATAGTTTATCATAGCATTCATAATTTGTAATTATTATATACCAAATACTCTACATATAAACTCTGTTCCTAAAACTAATGCCTCTTGCCTCCAAATGACTCTTATATACCTTGTGACCTGCTATCTGATGAGGAAGCTCTATAGGTTTTGGAACAGATTAATAGTTAAAAGGAAGATGGAAAGTGAATCACACACTGTTCATTCTTTATCTCGGTTCAGTCTTCTAATCTTATCTTTGATTTCCACTAGAGATATAGATGCTTCCTAATATCTTCAAGCAATCAAATAAATAAATAAATACACCATATTGTTTCAAATTAATCTTATAGATATTGCTGTGTTTAAATGTTGTGTCTCTTGAGGGAAGAGACATTCAGTTTTTCCTGGCTAAAAATGAATTACACAGCTGTGTAAATTTAGGATGTATGTTTTGGCAGATTCTTGTAATTGATTAGCTGGCATTAGACCTCTCCAGCTAACTGATTTTTAAATAAGTGTTTTATTTGTTTGTTTGTTTTTTTAAAAATATGACTTAACTGGAGTAGTTTTTCTAAAAATATAAAACAAAAGGTACAGTAAATGCTTAAAACATGTAAATTAACTGATAGCAATAGTCTAAGAAATTGATGAGGTCAGTTAATTAGGAAACTGTTCTGTGATTTTGGGAATCTGTTGTTAAAACTTTCTCTAACATGGTAATATACTGTAGACTGTACAAATATAGTATGTATGCATATTTATTAATGATAAGCATGTATAATATTTTGTCTGTAATCTTTCTTGAAGATTGTGACCCATTGTTTTGTTCGAACAGACTGTGATATTGACATTGCCTTTGGGTTTGACGTGTCCAGACGGACAAGCACACAAACTCTGTTCAGACCTCAGGTGGAACCGTTGGTTTCTGCAGCCATCCACCGTATCTCCATGATGGGTGATCTGTGCTGCATCAAAAAGGACAAGATTACAACTAGATTTGGCTATAGGCTAGATAGGAGTGTTCTGAATGATTTTGGCTTTGAGAAGTACAGCGAGGATGTGGTCAAGAAAGTGATGTCATTTCAACCTACGGCACCCCTGGCCTTCAACGGGGTTCTGTTAGATTCCTTCAGAGAATTGTTAGCCTCCTCCAAAGCCAAGGCAAAGGTGGGAGTGTTTTCGAGATATAAAACTTACCATCAAAATGACTATCAGCTATATTATATTCTTTGTTAATGTTCCCTTAATTGAGCAGGAGAACCTCTGCTGATGTTACTTTCAAATGATTTTATGTTTTACTGAAAGACTCTCATAAGAAGATTTACACAACAAAGAAACACTATGCACTTTGGCGTTTGGCATGATATTTTACCCAAAATTATGCTTTAAAATGAAATTGCATCTGTAAGAGCACTATTGGAAAAAATTATATGAATTTTAAATGCTAATATCACCTAGATTGCATTAAGTATTTATTGCTCGTTCAGTTGATGGTACTCAGAAAATGGTATTCACGCAGAATGCTGCTGCTAAATCTCCTGACATTTAATCGTATGTTTGTGTTTAGGTTTTGATAATCTTCACAGATGGGTTGGATGATAACATTAAGCATTTAATGGCAAGTTCAGAGAGACTTAAGCAAAGTGGTAAGTGATGTCTTTGGCTACATCCACATTAATCTGGATTTATTTGAAAACTGTGTTTTCGTTTTGTCCACTCTACTGCTTTCAAGTGGTTTCCAAATGTTGTTCGCTCACATTGAAATGTCTGAAAACGCTTAAATCACCTTACTGCATATGGGTAAAATGTAAGTTCTCTGAGGTATACCAAGAGATTAAACATTAAAAAGTTAAAATTTTATTAGCAAAATATCCCTCCAATTGCTGGTGCATCCAGGTCACACTCGAAATTGTTATTCCATATATTCAGACAGCACAATTGTCCTGTTTTGCCGCTAAACAAGAAGGAGTACATTTTCTGTCATATTTGTAATGTAATATTAGGAGTGTACAAAGTAGCATTTAAACAACACTATGAAAGTGAATAGGAGGGACAACAATGCTGGTACAGCCATAGATATCTGTGGGTACTATATCACATCACTAAACATGCATCATTGTTTTCGGATTATACCTCCGTTTTCACAGTCCACAATTTATATCTTAACCATAAAAACTGAGCCATTGCAAAGTAAAGTATTTCAAGATTGATCCAGCCAAAACTCAGTTGTGTGCAGAACTTTAATACATTTTGTAAAAGGATGCAATTGCATTTTGGTTTAGTTTAGTTTTTTATTTAAAAACACTACCTTTTATCTTAATTTGCAATTTTGTATAAGTAGCCCCCATGAATGCCTATGCCATGTTTTCCCTGTCTTTTTTGTGGGACGTTTCTTCCACAAAATGTTTAAGGCAAAGACTGTGACCCTGAACCATTTCCTCTGCAGTCACTCTGTACTAAACCCATGTGTGCTCATTTCTGATGTGTAAACTAGGGGTCAGTGCACTGCTGATTGTGTCTTTGGAGGGAATAATGGACGTTCACCAGCTGGAATTTGGCAGAGGTTCCGGCTACATGCAGCCACTGACCATCAACATGCTAAATTTAGGCAACGCTCTTATGAAACAGATTGTAAGTATCAAAACAATGCTTAAAGGCAATATAGACAAATAGTGTTTTCAGCTATATATATATATATATATATATATATATATATATATATATATATATATATATATATATATTCCCATTGAATAAATTAGCTCTTCTACTATTTTAAATGCATTCTGCTTTGTGGCCTTTGTTTCTGGAGCCAAATTTAATATTTGTTTATTGTACAATCATCAAATATTGATTATTTTTTAATTAATTTAATTGTTTATTAACATCTTTGATTTCCAGATGCTCTTGGTAGACTATAAATCACCACACAAAACACATTGTTGTCGACACAAATCATTGCAACTGGACAAATATTTAAACTTTGGCAACTTTTGTATATGTGTTTATAGTTTTAAGGGATGCACCTGTCTAATTTTTCAAGCTACTGCCAAGTGACGGATACATTTGTAGTAAAATACCCTAAAATTTGATTGGATGCATGGCTTGTGACTTCAGCAACAAAATACAAACAGATTCACTCATTGTGCACCTTGCTCTCCCCTCAGGAAACAGTAGTGCTGAGGAAATGCTGCGATGTGCTTTGTTCATGCACCGGTGTACCTGGACCACGAGGACCCCCTGAAAGCTTGGGTCAAAAGGTCAAAGCCCCTCAATTCTGATAATGTAGAAAATAATTTTTTTGGGTTTACATATTTTCTCTTGCTTTGTTTAGCATGGACGGATTTTTTCTCGCTGAGCTTGATGCATTATGTCATTATCTGAATGATAAATGCATTGTGACTAAATGTGACAAATGCAATTTGACTAAAATGAGGTATCTTAGTTAGAAGGCAGCTAGATTTTTGAACAGCCTTCACACCAGGAACATGGCTATGATGTCTTCAAGAAATTCTGCCTATGCAGGTTTTATGTGTCAGTATCCATGTTTTCTTTTATTATTTAGGGATATAAAGGTCAGAAGGGTCATCCTGGATTTCCGGGAGATGAAGGTAGTATGGTAAGTGAAACTGTCAGCCTGATTTCTGATGTCACATGACCTTCACATTACATGTACTTAAGGCAAAACACCCCAAGTGAATAGGGTAAAACATGTAACTAATAAATATCACCATACTTGATTGATAACATTAAAATTCCAAATTTAAAAAGTTTTATGCAATATTATGCTTAAATAAGCAAAAGAGGCATTATCTAATTACACAGGCACTCATTTGCATACATTTCCAGAACAGAAATCTGAATATTGGATAAAGCCAGGTTCAAAATTCTTGTTTCTTTTGCTGACATATTAGAGTCAAAAGTTTATACAGAAGGGATTTTGTGTATCTATTTTTTTGTCTCTCCATGAATCAGAAAACGCTGTCGACAGTATTATTATATATTTTGTAAAAATATGTAAACCTTTCTGTAAAAAAAAAAAAAACTTCAGAATATAGATAGGAGTGTGTAAATATAGAAAGTCTGGGGTGTGTACGTGCTACTGTGTTGGAGAAAAACACATTTTGAGAAAAGGGCCTTTAAGGATAGGTATTGAAATTGAAATCTATAGTCGCAAATATATACGCAATAAACACTTAAAAGTTAATTGTAACAAAGTTCGTAGTTCTGGGAAGAAGGAGGCGGGAACCGGCGAACATTTAAACATAAAACTTTAATAATCAAATAAACAAACACAAAATGAAAGTAAAAGCGGCAGCCCCTCACGGACGACTGCCGCATAAAACAACAACAACATAAATAGTCCAGGGGCCCGTTATTCGCACGTCGCTTATTACATCCGAGATGAAATGTCACATCCAAGATTATATCATCGCGCTAATCAGGATCTGGGTAATTCGGTTCTTCGAACGCACCTGTTGTTGATGATTAGTATGCCTGGATTGAGTTATCTCAGATAATTGCCCGTTCATGGGTTGGTTTAAAAGGGGCTATGTATCGATACTCGAAACCACGATCAGCAATGCAGCGATTGGCCGGTGGCAAGACAGCAACGTAATTACATCATATAATTAAAAAAGACACCTGACGAAAAACTTGACACATTTTTGGACTTTTATAAGGAAACAGCTAAGCGAACAAAACTACATAAGTGTTATACTAGATAAATGAAATGTGCACCGTTTTTATTTAATTCTTTTTTTTTACATGATTCCTAATTATTTATATTCACGATTTCTAATATTTGTACAGGCTTTTCATTTTTATTTCAATGTAGTAGTTAGAAACTCATTTAATTTGATATTTGAACAGATTTGTTACGTGACAGCATTAATTAAAATTTCTTAAGGGTCAAGATCATGTTATCTGCATCTCCTGCGCTCCATAAAGCCACTCCCATAATAGCTGTCAGCACTCAAATGAATGCACGACTCTATACATTATCTGTTTAGCATGTGTGTAAGACTATGAAGTAATACTTTTATGACGAATAAATCTTTCAGTGAGTAAAACTGGCTGTGTCTATAGTATTAAAGATACACAACATTATTATATTATCTTTAAATTAATTTTTAAATGATTATTATTTTAAATGATTGTACTCTTGTAATAAAGTTGCAGTGGTAGCGGACAGATTTTAAGTATCAATTCTGCTTTAAAAGATGCAATCTAATCCTGTTTACAAGAAATAAGCCTGCTCCCGAGCAGGTTTAAGCTTACGGGCCTGTTGCTATGTTGCTGTTTCTTACGGATGATCTTCGAAGAACCAAACAATCCAAGATCACGCCAAATCGTCAACAATCAAATCCAGCTAACTGAGTTAGTGACATACGAAGAACGGGCCCCAGGCCTGGTCCTCTCTCATCCAACACTGTTGTTACTCCTCCCTTTTTCCTTCCGGAGCTCCTCCGTTGGACTCGAGACCGTTGAGGGGCATAGGTGTCGCTCATTATCATTTACCGTCCTCGCTTTACCTCGCTCCTCTCCCACAGCTCTCGGCCCCGCCCCACTCATCACATTTATTTTGTTTTCTTTCTGGTAATCTGGAACATTTTATGAAAAGTCAAATAGCCCAAAATTTTAAGACTGACCAGTGCCTGATAAAACAATGGGTCTCATTCACTAATAATTGCATGGATTATTTCGTATTTGTACGATATATATAACATATATAATACAATTAATGCAATATATTTATATTATATATAATTATAGTCATGCTAGGATGAAATATGACTTCTTAAAACAATTAGCTGTAAGGCCGTATAAAGTAAGTGCTTTTTGCGTACATATGGTTTCAATTGTTCCTATATTTTTTCATAAATTTAGAATACATTTTTTTGCTAAATTTGTTCTTAAATTCGTTCGTACGCACATTTCATGCACAAATTTGTGCGTACGCATGCTTAGTGAATGAGACCCATTGTTTTTGCCTGTAATATCTTGCCTTAATAGTCCAATTCAGAAATGTCAGCATTAGTAATTCACAGGACAATGTGTAGCTGATAACATCGTTTTAACAATTTTATGTTTCATGTGCATTTTTGCCCTGAGACCTCATCTGTAGCAATGTGTCACTGATGATACTGTATATATAGGACAGAATATACATGTTTTATAGAGGATGTACGTTGTATATGCTATGAATAAACAGTCTTTCTCCCATCTTGTTTCTGGCAGGGAGAGCGAGGACCACCAGGGCTGAATGGAACTCAGGGACACAGCGGTTGCCCTGGAAACAGAGGAATACATGTAATTTAACATACGATTATCACTGGAGATGCATCTCTTGATGCCACTTTTATCAGTGCAATGTTCTGCTTGGAATTTCTGGATTTATCTTAGTATGCAAGATAGTACAGTACTGTATTTCTTCATACACCACTTGTTAATAGAACTTTAAACTGGTACTTTTTCTTTTTTTACTTTCAAGAAATAATCTTTAAAAATAAGATGAATCAAAGAATCAAATTGTTAATATAAAAATAAAATTGTTTAATATTTTATCATTTGGTGCAAACACATTCATACATTAAGTGTGAACACATTTTTTTAGGAATAGATACATGCTACCTGCAAGACTACTACTAACTGCATGGCTAGGATATGTTATTGTCTGTACTGTATATGAGGACAGGTAAACCAGATGAGTTTTACAGCTGTGCTGAATAAAGGAAATGTTTTTAAATCTCATTTTAATAGGGCCAGAGAGGCTACACTGGAAATAAAGTGAGTAACACGAGTTATTATTCTATTTACTGGCTGTTCGCTCTATAATTGCACCCACTTTTACTGTTATTTTGGACAAAAATGTAAACCGAAAAAGACAAAAAATGATTTTCTAAAGTGCTTTTTGAGAGATTGTTCTGCTGTTTTCTTCTACAACCACAATTTACATCTCAAAAATAATGTAATGTTTTTTTAGTATAGTTGCCTTGTCTCAGTCATACAAGCAAAATTGCATGACATATTAAGACTATTTTCATAGAATCTTTTTGCAATAACATATTTTTTTAAACTTGTTTTATACATATTACATTTTTTTTGAAAATTTTGCTTAGAAGGTTCTTGCACACTTTTACTAGAAAACAAGTTCAGATTCTCATTAATAATGATGATGTTAACAGTTTTCATGAGGCAGTTTTTGTCTGGCAATTTTTTCCAAGCTGCAGATGTTATTTTAGGGTCTTAAACAAGTACAATTGCAAATTGTATTTGTTTAGTGCTGTTGATTACTTCCCTAAACAGACTGTAAGTTTGTGTGACCCTTTGACCTCTGTCTGACAGGGAGAAGATGGGGAGGATGGGCTGGATGGAGTGGATGGAGAACAGGTCACAATTATCTCCTCTGCCCCTTTTCCACACTTACATTCACATGCACTATTGTAAAATAATATATAAATTAGATGTAAATATATAAATATTTGAATTTGTTCAAAAAGCAGAGTAAAGTTTATTTATCCATGTTGGAGTAGAAATTACAGAGTTTAGGTTGCGAAAAACTATGTTTTAAATTCTAAATCAATAAAAAATATGCAATATACAGAGAAATGTACAGAGAAATAGATTTGTGAAGATATCTAGATGGAACAAAAGAAGCCTTTTTTATGTAAATCAGTTTTTTTTGTGCATGAAAAAGTTGTCTTATTAGATGGTTATAGAGACTTAGATGGATGCAAGAAAGTTGACAATACACATACACACAATGTGCATCAAAATGCACCTATTGATATCTGACTTTGAAAAAAATCTGAAACGTTATGTATAAACCTTCTATAAAGTATAAAATTCTCTCTTTCAGTGTAAGTCTATAGGTTTTTTGTCTGTTATATACACCACCAAGCAAAATTTGTACGTTTGACCACTTATAAAAGTAATATCTTTTGTAAATATCCGTAATCATATGTATGATCAAGTAATAGTAATTAATTGTGTTTGAGGAATATCAGTAAAGTGCTGCCTTGTAAACACTGCAGTAATTTAAACCCATAAGTGGGCAATGAAACTGCTTAGTTGAGCACCGCATCGTCACCAAATGAGTTATTGAGTCATTTGATTGATTCACTGTACTCTGTTTCTGTTGTGTGCAGGGTGATGCTGGCCTAAATGGGCTTCCAGGACCTAAAGGAGACCCAGGCAGTGCTGTAACTACACCACACATGTGTTTGATCACAGCTGCCTCCTTAAAACAACCCAGTGGCTTCCTCACTGTTATTTCTGTCTTTTAGGGTGTGAAGGGTTTCAGAGGCAGTCCGGGACCTGACGGACACAGCGGAGTAAGAGGAGATCCTGTAAGTATTTCTCTGTGTTTATAGTAGCTGTTTTTTACCGTCTAAACAACCTGACTTGATTTGTCTGTACAATGTTCTCTGTTTACGTTACAGGGTGCACCAGGAATAGACAACACAATTCCAGGTCCAAAAGGCGAGAGGGGAGATACTGGGCTCCCGGTGAGGGTCTTTTTTTTTACACTTCTTCTGGAAAATGTTAACTCAATTTGTTTGTGTAAGAGTGAGAGAATGTGTCTGTTTCAGTAGCGTTGTGTCGTAAACCAAATGTTGTATAATTACATTCTTCCTCTGTTATTATGCATACACTACTTTAAAATCCTCCCATGCGACTATGGGTTTTGCAGGCTGTCAAAGTTAGCACATTTACACTTGTGATTAATTATAAGTTAATGTTAACACCACTTACACATGTGTGCAAGTTGACACAGCCACAATTGTTACTGCTTCTTAATTGACCTTTCTTTCCTGGCTCTTGCTTTGACTTTCATTGAAGAAAAATTCCAAATTAAGAACTTTAATAAAAGAGAATCAAGTGACCAAATATCAGAAACATCTATGATTTAGAACCACTTTTTTTTTTTTAGCATGTTACAAGAATATGTGACCGATTTCAGTAAAAGTGTGTTATGACTGTGTTCTGTTGTCAGGGTGACCAGGGCACTGTTGGACCCCCAGGCAGAAAACAGTTGTTTTAAACTGTAATAATATTTCACAATGCTACTGTTCCTACTGTATTTTTGACCACAGAGACTTTTAGAGGTATTTGAGCAGTATATGTGTTAACGTTTTGTATTATGATTTTCAGAATAGTTAACATTAATTGCCTGGATGTCCTTTTTTCGTCCTTCATGAAGTTTTATCCTTCAGATAACTTCTCAGTGTATTTTGGTAGGGTGCTCCAGGAAGAAAAGGCCGACCAGGATTGCCGGTAATGTAGCATGAACAAAATACAAAGATTCTGTTCTTAAATGTTTTATTCTATACCATTCTTTTCTAATCTTGTATGTTGTAATCTATTCCTAATTCTAACATATTCTATTGTTTATTATATTCTTGTATCCTGTTGTTGTTATTATATTCTGTTCTTTTTTCATTTATTCCATTCATCTCGGAACTGTTACAAAAGTCAATTCTGTTTTAAATAGCATTCTATTTTCTAATCTGTTCAATTTTGTTCTTGTCTAATATAATCTGTTCTGGTCTGTTCTGTCATGGTAATGTGAGGTAAATGTGTGTATCTGTATAGGGTGACTCTTCAAATGAAAAAGGAGAAGCTGGACAGCGAGGGATTCCTGGTTATCCTGGACAAGTGGTGAGAACTAGGACATTTCACCTTTATTTAAAAAGAAACACACAGATAAGTGATGTCCGATGTTAGTGTTTGATTCTATGAGCTGTTATACCTCCCTGATCTTTTTGTTCAGGGACCACCAGGCTCAAAAGGGTTCCAAGGAGACAATGGTCCTCCGGGTGCACCTGGAATTCAGGTGTGTATTCAGTTGATTAAACTAGTTGTATGTTAATGCCTTTTCTCTTAGTGTACAAAACATATGGTATAGAACACAGAAAGAACAATACAATGAATGTTGAGAGAACCATGTGTGTTTTCATAGGGTCCCTTTGGCCCACCTGGACCTGAAGGATCAAAGGGAGGTCGAGGATCCAGAGGGCCAAGGGTATGGAAGACTGTTGTATTGAAGTTTTCTTCTTACTTCCTTCTTTCTCTTTTCCTGATTCTGTGAAAAATGCATGAGTGTAGCGAATCAGCTCATGGGGAAATATGAATAATTAATCATAACTAGCTATAATTAATTATAAATATTTAGATCCGCTGTAGATATTTACTTGACCTCTCAGGGTCAACTGTCTGTCAATTTGAGTTTGTTTCTTCAGCAGAACAGAATAGCTTTACATCACTGGCTCACCAAGGGATCCTCTGCAGTGAATGGGTGCCGTCAGAATGAGAGTCCAAACAGCTGATAAAAACATCACAATAATCCACAAGTCATATTTTGTTAGAACTGTTTTGGACTGTTTCCATTTGTAACAGTCTTTGCTGATTCAGATAAGACAATAATAATTTAAAGCAGTATATTATGGATAGATGACTTGTATTTTAGCAACGGTAACAACAGTTTGAAGTTAAAAACATCTTAATAATGGATTTGTTTCTGACAAACACGCAGCTTTTCACTTCACAAGATGTTAACTGATGGACTGGAGTGGTGTGGATTACTTGTGCATTATTGTGATGTTTTTATCAGCTGTTTGGACTCTCATTCTGACGGCACCCATTCACTGCAGAGGATCCATTGGTGAACAAGTCATGTAATGATACATTTCTTCATATCTGTTCTGATGAAGAAACAAACTCATCTACTTCATGGATGGCCTGAGAGTCTGAGTTTTTGTGTGAACCATTTCTTTAATACCTGGTTGGTCTCCAGTATATTATGTAGTAGTGCAGCAGCCATATAATGTTGTAGAGCAATTCTGTGCTCCTCTTTTCACACTGTCCCTGCTTGTGTTTAGGGTCCACCGGGTGACCCGGGGCCCAATGGAGCACTGGGATCAGAGGGATTCAAAGGGCCTCTGGTCAGTTGTTGCATTTGTGCATTGTTGATTTGAAAATCTTAAAATGCCCATCTAAACTATATGAAATAGTTTTGTGCGACTTTCCAGTCTAATGTATGACTTTATGTAAAAAGGGACAAGATGGAAGAGATGGGTATGGACCTTCTGGGCTCAAAGGACACAAGGTATCTGTGCTATATCTGAAACATGCTATAACTTATTTTCCAAAGCGATTTATAAATATAATGCAATTAACATCAAGAGCAAAGCTTTGCACATGAGCAAAGTGCAAAACATTATTTTCTGGAAAATACAGTTACTTGTTTTCTCTCTTTTGTGTATGTTTATGGATATTCAAGTAACAGAATAAAATTGCTTTCAGGGAAACATTGGATACTTTGGCCTCCCTGGTTTGCAGGTCTGTTAAAGCTAGTTAATCATCTGTTGCAGCTCATCACTAGGCATTTTATGTAATTGTATAAATGTTAATAATAATAATAATAATAATAATAATTTAAAATTAATATAACATTATGTAACATTATTAATATCAGTGATTATAATAATAGGGTGAGGATGGTACCAAAGGATCCAGTGGAAGTAAAGGACATAAAGGTTATCGAGGAAAACCGGTACACTTTTAAATTATATTATTTTACTTAACATTATAGAGAAGTTTCTGTATGTTTGCAGTATACTTTTTGGAAGTTATGCAGTTATGTTATATTATGTATTGATGTGATCAGGGAAACACTGGTCTCGAAGGTCCTCCGGGTACTCCAGGAGAGAATGGGATGGACGGACACAGGGTCAGTCAATTGCAAACACTTTCTTACAGATTAAATAAATACTTATATACATCACAAAACATTGTCAGTTTAATCCTCTGGTCCTCTTCGGTCAGAACTGACCGAAATAAATATGTTTTTAATTTTTTAATTGTTTTGCTTCATTGGAACGGGAAGACACTTGGTGACTTTTGTCAAATTAGCTATGTGAACAAAAAAGTCATGGACATGATTCGAATATGTAACACTACCATGGAAAAAAATTGCATACCATTTTTTAAATATTGCATAGTATCATAAAATCATCTCAAAATTCTAAATAATAATAAAAAATGTTATTGGACAAAAATTATTTACATTGGTTTTTGCAAAAAATAAATACATATATAAAGTTACATTTCAAGGATTCTGTCACTTTTGACCGCGTAGGTAGCAAGTGTGACCCATAAATGAAGGAGGGTTAAGCAAATGTAAATAAGGTGTACTGAGATATTTCTCTTCATATTTATTTATTTGTTTGTTTGTTTATGTACTTATTTAATTGTTTATTTAATGTTATTGTATTTCTAGGGTGAAAAAGGACCTCCTGGAATCAGTCCAATGCCTGTAGGTTCACATTAAGATAAATGATCTTTAAATAGTATTAAATTACTCATCTGTTCCAACAGTTTGATTGTATTCCTTCTGTCCTTATTTTCTGCTTCTGAACGTCAAGGAATGTGACCTGGTCGAACACATACGCAAAAACTGTCGTAAGTTCAGAGCGCCTAATATCCAAAGAATGCCAAGCAGAATGACTGCTAGTGATTTTAGTCATTAGCATTATCTCATTCAATTATTTTATTTCTCTCTTTGTGATCTCTTATATGTGCCATTTAGCTTTCTATATATTAAACCTTGAAATGATTTGAAATGGATCTAAATTTTATATTTCATTTTGTCTCCACAGCTTGCTGCTCCGGTATGCTTTGCCTTACACTTTAACATTTCAGTGCTTCATTTATTAGTAACTTTTTGCGAATTGTAAATTTTATATATATATTTTTTTCTTTTCCAAAATGCTTTCAGGTAATGGTACCCGGTGTCCAGTTTACCCCACAGACCTGGTGATAGCATTGGACATGTCTGCGGGTGTGACTCCTCAAGTGTTCGAGCGGATGAGTTCTGCGGCTCTATCTTTATTGGAAGACATTTCCATTGCTGAAACAAATTGTCCATGGGGAGCTCGAGTATCTGTGATCTCCTACAGCAGTGAATCCAGGAACCTGATCCGTTTCGCAGAACACCTTAAGAAGAAGAGCCTTCTGGAAGCTGTAAGAACATTCGCTCTAGAGAGAACCACAAAAACTAGAGACATCGGACAAGCCATGAGCTTTGTGGCCCGCAACATCTTCAAACGTGTCCGAAAGGGCAGGCTCATGAGGAAAGTGGCCGTGTTCTTCACAAACGGGCCGTCGAGGGATGAATCGAGCCTTGCAACAGCCATGCTGGAGTTCAAGGCTGCAGACATTGGCCTCGGAGTGATCGCCTTAAATCCTGCGGATGATGTGAGCCGAGCAATGCAGGTAGATAAGAAAACATCAGATTTGCAAATGCAAAAAATGCAAGTCACCTTCATTTATATTTATTTACATTACTTCACAGTAATAAACAGGAAAATAAGTGTTAATGTTGCAAAGTTCTTAAAATACAATTACAGCTGTAAAGTAGCACAAAACAGACAATAGTGTCATTATTCAACTCAATTTGGTTCAATGTGGATTCAGTTCAGTTCGCTAACAACATCAGTGGAAGGGTTATCAGTTATGAAACAACCACAAAGCAGCTCTATAAAGTATAATAGTGTCATTATTGAGCTCATGTCAGTTCGGTGTTGATGCAGTTTAGCTCAGTAATGATGCAAATTTGTAAAACAAGCTTAAAGGGATAGTTCACCCAAGAATGAACATTTGATGTTTATCTGCTTTCCCCAGGGCATCCAAGATGTAGGTGACTTTGTTTCTTCAGTAGAACACAAACGGAGATTTTTAACTCCAGCCGTTGCAGTCTATCAGTCATATAATGCATGGCAATGGTAACAAAATCTATGAGAGTAAAAAAAACATGCACAGACAAATCCAAATTAAACCCTGCGGCTCGAGACGACACACTGATGTCCTAAGACACGAAATGATCGGTTTGTGCCAGAAACCGAACAGTATTTATATAATTTTTTACCTCTCTAATACACCACTATGTCCAACTGCTTTGGGCGCGCGCACGGCATCCGGTGCGTGAGGTGTGTACGCGCTTTGGCGTAGTTTACGCAAGCGCCGGAAGTGATCTCTCGCGGGTATACGTCACTCATTGTTTACACAGTGCACAGTCACTGTAGGTACGACGGCTAATCAAAATGGTACTTACTTGCGCTTATCCGGATTGTTCAAACCGACTTAAAACTAAAAGATTACGTTCTCTCGCGCGAACTCATTCGGGAGTGGTGACCAACTGAAGCGCCCACCGAAGAGCCCTTCACAACAGAGGAACCATATGAAGAGGAGCAATATGAAGATGTTTATGATGAGCAAAACACAGAACCAATCACTGAACCCAGTGAATATGATGACACTGAACAATTTACAGAAGAGCACAAAAAGGACAAAACGGAGCCTTCAAAGACTAAAGGTGGTGAATCTAGATCTTACTGGCCAATTTAACCCTTGATTTAGCTCTTTTGGAGTTGCACATATCTCTGGCGTAGTTCTGTATCCTCACTCACATTAAAAATGCACAAGCTTTTATGCTGTTTCTCTGACAGAGTTCAGTATTCAGTGCTGCAGGGAATTAATGGAATGTTTGTTTCCAACAGCACGATGCTTCCTTGAGAAAGATTCAGGCGGTGCTTGTGGATCGTATTTGTCCAGATGGTATTACAGCCAGCAGACTAAGAAATGCATGCACTTCTGGTACGGTGGTTGTGGCGGAAATGAAAACCGATTCTTGACAGAGGATGAGTGCTTTAGGCAATGTGTGTCTACAGGTAAAATTACCAAACTTGCTTACTGATATTTAGGCTGTTCATAATCCATATTTTTTTATTGATGTAAATTCTGATCATTTACTTTTTTATTTAATCCTTGTTTTTAATTTTTTTTTGGTCAACTTGTTTTCTTTGAATTAGCGCAGGTTTTGTCATAGGCCTCACTGATCTGAGCTTATGCACCTCCGTTTTTGAGTGAAAAAAAAGCATTATTTGTGTATTATTTTGGGAGTTTTTACTCAAAAACTGAGGTGCATAAGCTTAGATTAATGAGGCCTACAATCAAAAAGAAACACAACCTGTGCTAATTGAAAGAAAATAAGTTGATAGAATAAATTCAATATTTGGTAATATAGCACAATGAGAGGAAAACTGGCCTTTTTGTAGGCTGGTCATTTTTGGCCAGGAATACCACAAGTGTAACAAGGTGGGAAAAATAATCAAAATTGTATAAAAATGTATTAAAGGGGTCATATGATGCAATTTAAATTTTTCCTTTCTCTTTGGAGTGTTACAAGCTCTTGGTGCATAAAGAAGATCTGTAAAGTTGCAAAGACTAAAGTCTCAAATCCAAAGAGATATTCTTTATAAAAGTTAAGTCAACCACGCCTACCTAAAACGGCTCGTTCTAACACGCCCCCACATGTCTACATCACGATGTGGGAAGATTTGCATAACACCGCCCAAATGTTCACACAAAGAAAGAAGCAAAACTTTTATTCTCGCTGTAGTATTGTTGTTGCTGCCGCCATGTCGTGAAGACGCTGTGTGTTTCATTGTGAAAGCGAAACTACTTTGTTTGGCCTTCCAAAAGAGGACGATATCTGCTTCGTCATGCCTAGAGCTGATCCGTGCTGGTCGCTGAGGAAATACATCAACTTCGCGCTGTGGATTGCCAGATCGGCTTTCACCGTGGACGAAGCGGAGTCCAGCCCGGGGTCGTCACATGTGGTTGCCGCAAGCCTGCCGGCCGCTCATTCGTTGAATCCGCCAGCCGCCGCTCACTCTAGCCCGCCGTGTGTCATGCTGTGTGTTTCGTTGTGAGAGCAAAACTACTTTGCTTGGTCTTCCAAAAGAGGACACGACTAGAAATCAGTGGTTAAGTTGTATTTACAACACTGTTCCAGAACAGTTTAACCCAAATATTCAGATGTGTGCAGCACATTTTATGGAGGACTGTTTCCTGATCCTGGGAGAGTAGACTACAATGCCGGCTGTTCTGACTCACAGACTGTGAGTAAGTTTTTTATATTTAAAGAATTTGCCACTGACGATTCAAACGCGAGTTTTGAGCAGTGTAGAGAAGCGCTTGTAGTTTGTCATTTCTCTGATCATGCAGACATGGTTTTATGTTTACGCGGCGCGATGTATCACGTAAAAAGACAGTATAAGTCATTATAATCCGTAATTATGTCTCGTCGCTCCGGCCGGACAGGGCATCACAGTATGGTGAGGGGCGTAACATTTCCGTCACACGCTTGAGGTATTTGGCCAATCACAAGGCACTGGATAGCTGGCCAATCAGAGCACACCTCGCTTTTCAGA